TAGCCCAGTGATAACATCACCAAATTATCACCTCGGAGGACGTGTGTTCAAATCCCACCACCACCGCCTGACTCTCTCCATCGTGTTGCATGGCAGTGGATTGATTGGCCGCTTCCCTCTTCCTAAAAACTATATCTTTGTATATTCAATGAAAGGAAGCAACATTTGAAAAAAGCCAATCACTGGGGCTTATCGAAAAGAGAATAATGACCATGCATATAGAATTAACTATCATACTTTTGAATTACCCGTAAATATTTGATGAATTTTCCCGCTTAAAATAATTCTGTTACACTGACCTGTCTTACACTATCTATGAACTTTGGATCGAACGAGTTACGATTAACAAGACTTAATTAATTAATTAATTGAAACACTGTCATCATCTTTTAGTACGTCAATCAAATCCTGAACGAAAATCTTAATCGATTGATATTATNCAAGGGTTTTCTAATTACAATGCACTGCAGGATCCCCGTAGCGTCAACATCAGGTTTATGACAAAAAAAGATTGTCCAATCTGCAAACACTTTGCCCTGAACTGACACTTACCGATCACTCGATTCCTGTTCGGCTAAACAGCCTTCCATCAAGTCACTGTACAGCCTTAGGAGTAAGACCATCAGCACATGGGCATACTCTGGGTACTGTGAAATGGTTGTGAATAGTTGGGTGTTGTTGTGCTGTGAATCGGTCCAAATCGATACCAGCTCGGTGTAAAGTGTCCGTGACAGATGCACATAATTGGTCGGTGTGGCGAAACCCAAATCCCACCAAGTGATCAAAATAAGATCTGACAGGGAAGCTGCATCCTCGGGTTCCAAATTGGTTCTTCCAATCAAATATCGAAAGAAACCCGAGAGGAAGTTGGCCAAACAGGGGATTTCTGAGATAGATATATGCACCAATACGTTTTCCTGTAAGGATAAATAACAACAACAAAATATCGGACATGAAAACTTACCATGAACAAGATTCGTGTGGCACGAGTATGCGACAAATAGGTAAAAAGCCACCGCTTTTCCACCTCTTGCGATCCAAGTCTAACAGTTATCGCGTCGAAAGGGGCTGAATTAAACAGATCCCAGCAGCCGTAGAATATCTCAGACAACTCGTCCGTAGTGAACGTCGAATAGAACGATTTGGCATTAAAGCCGGAAGCATCGCATTCGGTTGAACCACTCAAGTCCCGTAGGGTGAGAATTTCATGACTAACCAGATCTATTGTCATATCTAATACACGGTAGGTGCTGAAATGAATAAAAACAATTGGTAGGGTTAGTGTTGTAGAAAAAGATGTTGAATTTTATTTATCTGCAAGTAACCTGTCTCCGAACAAATGTACACCAGGTTAAAAGATGAATTCTTGGAGAACCTTGGTATCACAACAGAGTATGATGATAATACCGGTACCATTAGGAATGTTCATTTAAAATAGAGCATATAAAAATTGACAGGATTTTGTGGAAAATGCAGTAGACTGGATGTGTCCAGAATTGCGCAAACTCGATTTTGATTCACCAAATTTAACAATGCCACGCTGTGAAAGCTGAATACAAAGCAAACACAGAGAACCGCATTGGGTTAGGCATATCGTGCGGTTATGATGAACAGAGTGGGGACGAGTATACTTCGCGAAAGGTCAGTTATCCACACAATTAACCATGCACTTTCGTGCCTTGGTTTTCGTTACTGTCTCATGATTGCCCGATTAGATGAAGGAGTGGAAGGAAAACCGGAATGCTCAAATCAGTAACAGAGGGACAATACAGAACTCAAAAGGGCTCAGGTAGCAAACAAATTGAGACGCACGAGCGCCACCGACCCGGGATCGGATTATCAACCTCACTAGGCACAGTCTGACAATTCACCTAGAAAACTGGACGAGCAATGCTGAGGTTAGGCGTAATATTTTAGGTAATCGCGGTCGTCCACTGGAGCAAGTAGTCGACCTCCATAGATGACGCTGATTGGGGCACGCGTGTTAAGCAAGTCACCAGATAGGTTGCCACGGTGAAGGATGTTCGCCGAGATAGGTAATATTTGGAGTAAGATCAAGAGCGGTCAAACGAAGACCAGGTATGAGGGTATGAAAACCCTAATCAGTAGACTGGGCAACATAGGTCCCATTAGGCTTCCTGGATGGGAACCCCGAGATCTTGGTCACCAGTGGTTAGAGACACAGCGATATGGCTGGGCGTCGCAAACAGTAGCGCTCATGCATCTACTTATTATTGTTGCAACCTCAGTCCACATGAATTCTCTATCTTCCACTTGAATTTACTCTCAATATTTCAATCTTCATTATGCTCCTTCATCCAAATGGGCAGCCAAAAGACAGCAACCAAAGCCGGTGCACGAAAGTGCAAAGTTACTGGTTGTAAAAATTGAACTGAAACCACCTAAAGTTTCAGTTCAGTTTGTACAACCACTAATCATGCACTTCCATGCACCTGTTATGGTTGCTGTCTTTTGGCTGCCCATTCGGATGAAGAATAGGAGAAGAAAGGAAAGTTGAAAGTGGATTCGAAAAGAAAATGGAGAAGTTCAGTGGTCTAAGGTTGCAAAGAAATTGAGAAAATGCACGAACGCCACTGTTTACGACACCCAGCCATATTGCTCAGTGTCTCTAACCATCAGGTACGATCATCCCGAGGTCCCCA